ATCAATCAAATTTTTTAAACTTTAATTGCCCACAATTGTAAATAAAACAAAATAATTATATATAAAATCTTTATCGTTATGATAAATTAATAGTATAATTTTTACAAAATTGATATTTAAATTTTCATTAAATATGCTATTATTATAATATAATTTTATAACAATATAATAGTATTAAAATATCAAAATAAATACAAATAATTATTTAAAAAATAAATAATACTAAAATTTACTCACCAGTCGATGTCTTCATCGTTGCAGTCCATAGTTCCGCCTCCAAAACACTTACACGGCACTCCCGAATTTATAAACGCGATACACTTTCAACCGACAAAAAACGCGAAACACACGCGACAAAAACTCTACACTCCCGAAATACGTAAAACATTTCAGAAAGAAGTCGTTAAGACTTCGTATCGTGCCTTCGGTAAGCAACGTGCGATACAATACAAAAGAGGCGATTAGCTTACAAATGTCGAGAAACTAATAATCAGAATTAAACTAAATACGACACGATCATCCGTTCTTTGATTTAACATTATTTACATTGTCAAAAAATGTTGAGAAAGTTTAAGATATGCTGATAACATTGCATCAATGCTTGATGATACAACAAAAAATTCTCGACGCAACGGATAGGAATAATTTTACAAATTTCGAAAGATTGATAATCACGACCGTACATACTAAAATTTAGTAATATTTATATAGTATATTTTTTATTATTTAATAGTCTACGTGTAGTGTAGTAATCGCCCGTCGCTTACTTGAAAAGCTCGACATTTGTTTGTAAACAGAATTCGTTTCGACGAAACTGAACGAGAACGGAACGCAAAATAATAAACACTCACGTCCGATATCATTGCCGTCGCGACCTATACACTGCTTTATACACAAGATTTCGCAGAATCATGGTGACGTGATTTTTCGATAAATGCAAACGGCGGTTGTCTTTGCAAGAAATAGATCATCAAGATTATACGCACCGAATTCACTTACTATGACAATCGCTCGCTGCTTCTGATAATCGCAACCGTATGCAGTAAATAATAATTCACGGCAAACGCCCACTCGATAACCTCGACATTCGTTTGCGTACAGGATTTATTTCGACAAAGCTAACGGCGCACGAAACGCGAACAACTTACTTGTGTCCGACATTGCCGCCATCATCCGGTAGATTACTTCACGCACGATAGATTTCGCATAGCTTAGTGACGTCATTTTCCACGAATTCAAATGGCGGTTAATATATGTAAATGGCGGTTGACTTTACGAAAAATGGATTATTAAAGTTATACGTAACAAATTTGCTCACCGTGACAATCGCCCACCCCTTAATTCGATATAACCCGTTTCTGCGGCAAAAATACTTTAAGAATTTTCGGAAAATTATGCAATCACACATCGAGGATTGGCGATTCGGCAAGCAATGTTCAACACGACGCGACGGAACGAGAGGTCTTAGAAATGTTGAAAAACCGATAATCGCAACCGTATGTGGTAAATAATAGTTCACGGCAAACGCCCATCGCTCCACTCGATAATCACAATATTCGTTTGTGTACGAGATTTATTTCGACAAAACTAACGGCGCACGAAGCGCGAACTTACTTGCGTCCGACATTGTCGCCCTCATCCGGCAGATTACTTCACGCACGATAGATTTCGCATAGTCATAATGACGTCATTTTCCACAAATTCCCTATAAATGCAAATGGCGGTTGGTTTTACGAAAAATGGATTATCAAAATTATATGTAACGAATTTGCTTACTATGACGATCGCCCGCCGCTTAATTCGATATAACCCGTTTCTACGGCCAAGATACTTTAAAAATTTTCAGAAAATTATGCAATCGCGCATCGATGGTTGGCGATTCGGCAAGCAATGTTCAACACGACGCGACGGATTGAAAGGTCTTAGAAATGTCGAAAAATAATCGCAATTGTATGCAGTAAATAATAGTTCACGGCAAACATTCGTTGCTTCACTCGATAATCACGATATTCATTTGCGTACTTACTTCGACGAAGCTAACGGCGCACGAAACGCAGAACTCACTTGTGTCCATCGCCGCCGTCATCTCGCAGCTGCTTCACACGCAATAGATCTCGCGATATATCGCGATAGTCACGTGACTTCAATGAGCAATGAGCTTTATAGAAATTAGATCATATATCGATTTATGGCTGGTTTATGCTTCGGTCTTAATCTTAATCTTAGTCTTAGTCTTAACTTAATCTTAAGGACTCGTTTATGCTTCCCTGGAAATTCAGACTACGCATGTGCAAATGTAACAAAACCTAACCTAACCTAACCACAAATTGTAATAGATCCCGGTGCTGCAAATTATAGTGAATGTTAAAATGAATCGTCATGATGAAGCGGCAAAAAACTTTAATGTTTGGAATGGCACTTTTGTTATCAAGTGCCTATGCAGCATGTGTATTATTAAGAAATTAAAAAAAAATAAAAGAAAACCACGGAGATACGCTGTTCGGCCACTGAATCGAAAAAGACACGAAACTGGTCATTTCTTTTCTTTAATGAAAGATATGCTGAATATTGAATACGATCAGGAACAATTTTTTAAATATACACGGATCGAAAACCATTATTTCGCGCGGTTTCGTGCTGCGTCGGACGTCAGACTTACCTCATTGGCCCGGCCTTAGGACATTAGGGACTAAAGTTAAAAGATGGGATCTTTCCAAGATTAAGATTAAGACTAAGATTAAGACTAGGGAAGTATAAACGCCCTTATGGCATTCTACGTTATCAACTCTTAAGATTAAGATTAAGACCGAAGCATAAACCGGCCATTACTCCCCATGACGACCGTTCGCTACTCGATTCGGCATAACCCGTCTCCCTTTTACGATCAAAATATTTGGAGAAAGTTCGAAAGACGATACAATTACGCATCACTTGACAATTCAACAAATAATGCCTAACACGATACGACGAATGCGAATGTGTTTTACGTGTCAAAAGACTGTTAATTGCGACCGTACACGTTAAATAACAATCTACAGCCCATCACTCGACTAGATAATCCTGACATTCATTTGCCTAAAGAATTTACTTCGGTGAAAATAAATGCACGTGAAACGTAGAATAACACTTACTTGCATCTAATATCACCGCCATCGTCCAACAAATTGCTATGAACTATTTCACTACAATAGATTTCATGACGTCACGATTGTATAATCGCGTTCAAATTTTCAAAAAAATAGAGCGCGAATTATAATTTTTATATTACCAAATTGTACATACATCTGTCAATTATTATTATATATTCATATATTTTATCTTATTATAGTCAATATAAATAATTAACAAAATAAGATACATTGATTGTTTATTTATGCAATTTATCTTGTGTTATAATATAAAAAAATATTAAAAAATAGTTTAATTAAATAATCACATAAGAAACAAACTTGCGAAAAATATGCCAGTTTAATTGCAAATTATACTACTTACATATAATAAACATCTCTTATTAAAAAGACATTTTACGTAAAACAAAATTTATCGTTTAAATTACTATTTTTATAGATTCCTAAAAAAGAATAATCAATATAGTAATAGTAATAAAGAAAAACAATTATTTTTAATAATAGACAATAATTTATTTTTATGTAAATATGTATATATGAGGTCGACGTGCTACTGTGTTTAATATATGTGTACTATACACAATACATATGTTTATATATATATATATATGTGTATAAATAACATACACCTGTGTAAGCACAGACAGAAGGTCCAAGCCTTATGTACGCAACTCGCAACAGTGGTATTTCCGCTCGCCAAATAACAAGTTGTATACATTCAAAGCCCAATTACGCGTATTATCCAGTATTCTGTGCACCACTTCGGACTTCGACAATCCAAAGTATCGACAGTATACCGGGTGAACTAAACAAGAGAAATTGATCTATAGCAAAATGTTTTCTATCATCTCAAATAACATCTCAATTTATACATTTTACATAAAGACTATAGCAATAATTAAAGTTACAATTATATTTTAAAATTAATTAAAAAATAAGATTTTATTCAACTTCAGAGAGATTTAAAGTCTTTTTTATATATTTAAATTTAAAGAAACGTAATTTTGTAATAAATTTTTTAAATATTAAATAATTCTTTAAGTTAATCATTGTCTTGTTTAAGCATCTTGGTAATAAATTTCAAATCTTTTTACATGTAGTTTCCTTTTCTAGTTCACCTTGTATATATTCACTATACGCATACGTATAGCGGACGTTTCTCTCAAATTTTCAATCCGCGTTCGCCAAGGCACGTCCGACCGATAGACTCGGCCTACGAGAGGCATGACGACAGGTCCAGATCGTTATCGATGTTGGGATATATCTATCGATGGATCAACCACCGATAGTCGTCGGAACGATGGACTCGCAAGGGGAATGAGGAGCATTGCGAGGGCGCATATGTGTGTATCGGTGCGCACAATTCACAGGAGGGTGTAATAGACGATGTAATCGGCATCCATCCTATGCGTGTAGTATCGTGTGTACATACAACGGATTGTCTAATGTAGGACATGTGTTAGGTAATCGAATTCTGCAGTACAAATTTCACATTCTTTTCCACTTGTGCAGGTCATATTTAAGGGTGATTTTTAGTGCGGTTTTTACATGAAATCTTCGAAAATAATACAGAATCCCTGAAATTGTAATTTTAATTTTAAAATTGCCAATAGAATCAATTTGTGTGCGTGATACGTAGTGCATGTTATCAATATTAGATATTACTACTGGAATAAAACATTAATGTTATTATATTAATTAATCATTCATTAATTATTGTACTATTTGTAAAGCTAAAATAAAAATTAACAAGATCGAAATTTGTACAACGTTTTTTCTATCAGTTTTTTCAACCTTTGACATTTTTTGGAATAGACAAGAAAGTTTGGATAAGACAAGGAATTTTGGATTAAGACAAGAAAATGCATTATATCATATAAAATCTTGTATAAATTATTTATTCAAGAATCCAGTATTTCTGTTAATTTTAGTACGTTCAGTTTATATGTACATTCATATAAAAAAATCAAGCTTACCATAATCATTAAGATCCTTTTATGATCTCTTTGCTTTCATCTGAATTCTACGACTTTTGCCTAATCTTTGCTTTCCCTTTCCACCTTTTCCTATTCTCCCTACTCCCGGTTTCTGTGGTCGTTTATATTCAGAAACATCAGCCGAACTGCTCTTTGTGTTCCACTTACTACCACGTTTCTTACCTCCGTAACCATATTTATTGGCCTTCATTTTTGCTTTGAATTGTGCCTTTTGATTTATTTTGTCGCTTTAGCAGTTTACCTTGTGCTTTCTTCTTGTCATCCAAAAAGTCAAGATCTTTTCGCATTCCTTTACGATACTTTTTAACTTCTTCAAGCATTTTTCTTTTCTCCGCATGTTTCTTCAAGGTTGCTTCAACTTGCATTTGCTTAGCCACCTTCTTCTGTTGTCTCAGTTGTCTTACCTTTTCTGATCTTTGCACTATTGCTTGTTTTTTCACCAAATGTTCTCTTACTTTCTGCATATGATTGTCAGTCTTAGCCATCTCAGCAAAATAATCATCTGGTCTAGTTGTTGATATACCAAGCTTCTTTAATTTAGCAATACCATCTATAACAGCACCCTGAGCTTGTCGATGAAACATGGTTTCCCTGCGAAAGTCATTTAAAACAGGATCTTTGGCTGGTTCATACTGAGGTAACTTCTTATTTCCTTGTAGCTGTTTAGCCCGTCTTACTTCTTGTTCTTGCATTTGAAGTGCCAACTCTGGTGCTAATGGTGCTGGTGCATTCACAATATCTAATTTCTCAATCCATGGCAAGTTCTGTTTTAATTCGTTCAACTTTTGCTTCATAAGATTCTACCATTTGTAAAATAGAAAAGGTTAGATTAGGTTAGATTGGAAAATTTTTAAATCCATTATCATCTTTAAAAAAAAATCACTTACAACACAATTTTTAGGTTGTTTATTTGTTTCGACTACAGCATTGAGACCCGGCTTCAATAATCCCTTGGTGAAAGCTTCTTGCAACTAAGCACGTGATAAAAGATAGGTTAGAATATATACCAAATAAAAGTAAGTATAAAAAGAAGCGATAATATTTACCTCTTCATCGGATGAACTATATTCTGAATCTGTTTGTGATATTGACATTTTGAGTCTTTTTCAATATCTTTATTTAACTTTGTTTAACTTACTGGACAAAATCACATCAACAGTTTATATCCACGATTGATGATCGTTCCATGCTCCACGGTTCTAGACCAGTTCTACACTTTATAGAATAGAGCTCAAAACACTTCTCTGGCGACATCCATCGGGCTGTCCCGAAAATTCATTCGTAAGGTAAATGCCAATAATAAATAAAATGAGAAAAAATATTTTGTTTCTTTTTACTTTCTGATAAAATAATGTATCTATATCAAGGACATCAGACAGAATCTAAAAATAGAAGTAGAAGATTAAAAAAGTTGCCTTCTATGTTAAAATTTTTATACTAGTAACAAAGATAATAAGAAACCCATTACAAGATTTATTTCGTTATATGATTTGTTTACAAAAAAGAAAAATCATAGCATTTTTAGGATACACTTGTATATTTCTAATAATATATTTATTATATCTAGTTCATTCACGATTTCACAAAATATAAAAAAAGATAAAAAAAAGACTAGAAAACTGAAAATTAAAGGCAAATAATTAAACAATTAGAAATTTTTAATTGGTGACAGTGGCGTGATTTATTTTACTCGATTCCAATTGAATTTCACTTTTTTTCTATTTTGCGTTGTATGCGTTGTCCTTGTTAGTTTCGCGTGACTGACAATGGCACTACGATGCTTGGTAACGCAGCCGTCGATTGGTTGGTAGCGTAAGCATGGAAACGAACTGACCAATCACTGTGCACACATTCGCGATGCGTCGTATGCGCAGAAATACCATCTCCGCTCCTGTCTGACATATGTTATGCTCGATGCCAGGATTTTTGTCGCAGCTGGTTGAATGACGACGACGAAATATCATGGCGGAAAACGATAAGAAGGCGATGTCACGTTTAATGAAACTTGCGAACAAATTCAACTGCTTTTACCTATCAGGTAAGTGTAAACGATAAATTACAGTCGTACTATTCCATATTATCTCGATCGACGCGTCTCTCCATCGTATGATCGATAGGAACGCGCGGCTACCGTTCGTGCGGACCACCAAGAATATTGATTTCGAGTGTTGTGGTATTTGTCGTTCGCGTTTCGAAGCGAAATAATGAAAAAAGATCCAAATACATATATTACATGATTATCGGCGAATCGCGCGCTTCCGATGCGTCACGTCATCGACGCCATCAACGAATCATTCCCGAAAAAACAAATTCCAAAATTCTTGATTTTTTTGTAATGATAAATATAATTAGCATTAATTTTTGGTATAGAAAGACTGATATGTACAGAAAAATTTCGATATACAGAGTATTTCTGAAAGAGCTACCAGTTAACACATTTAGGATTTGGTGGAATATATAAATATTTTTCTTTGATATGCATAAATACTATTCTTCTAGAGAAAAATTCTTTTCTCTAGAAGAATAGTATTTTTCAGTATTAGTACTTTTTATATGTAATATATGTATGAGTTTATGATAAATTTTTATAATAATAAATAATTTTTAGCAATTATCCTAAAATCATGATAATTTATATGAATATCAATGATATTTATATAAATTATGAACATACGTTTATTCTTTAGGTTTACATGCAGGAGAATGTCGGGCTTTTGTTGTCGATGGACAACAAGTTGGTCTTATACGTCCAGATGTGATGAAAGAAATATTAAATCACCCTCAAGTGAGTTTGGTCTTCTCGTTGTTTTAGTATTTGTTAATATATACTTTTATATTTGTATGTATTGTGATCTCATCAATTCTCAAGGTATTTCAAGTACATCCTGAATATGTACAATTAAATCCAGCTTTTCGGGATTATACTGAAAGAAGTGCACGTGTTGATGAAATATTAAGGAAATGGAAGGCAGGTGGAAAATTTGTCACATTAAGGGGCTGGAGAGAAGAATGCCATGAAGTGCGTGCTCAGTTCAATACACTACCGTTGTTTAAAATGGATCGCTCAGCTACATGTATGCATAAGAGAAATCAGTTTTTTTACTTATTTGTATATAAGTAAGTAAATAATGAATTATCACGATCACGTAAATTATGTGTGTTTTAAAATAACAGGTTTATTTGGAATTCGAAAATATGGAGTAGATATTAACGGCTATGTAATGGATCCTGTAAAGGGTTTATCAATATGGTTGCAAAAACGTAGTCCGAATAAACAAACGTGGCCTGCATACTGGGATAGCATGGTAAGCGGTGGACTGACTGTTGGCTATGGCATAAACGAAACCGCAATAAAAGAAGCTGGTGAAGAAGCTGGAATACCAAATCATCTTATTGCGAAACTCAAGAGCGCTGGTTGCGTATCATTCTTCTTTGAGAGTGAGAGGGGTCTATTTCCTAACACAGAATTCGTATATGATCTGGAACTGCCGCCCGACTTTGTACCGAATAACAGTGATGGAGAAGTAGAGACCTTCGAATTACTTCCCGTTAATGAATGCTTAGAGAGGATACTTTCTCCACATTTCAAGACCACATCTATACCAGTTGCGCTTGACTTTTTAATTAGACATGGATACATCACAGCAGAGAATGGTAAGATGCTATTTAATTAAATTCGATGTTTTATTCACTGCAGAAATGTTTGAATACGATTTACAAAGAACTCTGTGTGACACTGATTTGTTCGTACGCTTCTGTTACAGAGCCTAACTTTATACAGATTGTGGAGTTACTTCATGTACCTCTGCAAACTATGTACAAACATCGACACAAAACTAGTGATGAAATGGCCAATGGTGAAGCGATCAAAGCTTTAGAAAAAATTTAAGTTTCTCTAGATTTTTAATTTTACTGCGCTAAAGGCTATGAAATTTATGAAATGAACAAGATTATTCCTTTTGCTCTAATTCTTCATTAAATGTTGACAAATTTTATATTAAATGCAGTTGTACACATATAATACTTAAATCTTTTTCTTATTCTTAAATTATTAATACAGGGGTATAATACCCATTATTATTATTATTGAATCAAACGTATTTCTGCATTCATTTTAATGTATTAATTGCATATCTTGTATTGACAACGAAAAAGAGAAACTCTTAATACGCTTCATTAATTGCATTGATTATAACACGTTTATGCGATCTTTGTAACACATTTTCTTCCCCATTTTATACAGTTTCGTGTGATTCATAAAAGAGAAAAGACTAGAAATTTTTACAACTTTTGTATTGTGAAGTAAACTGTTGACTATAATAACGTACTTTGATTAATAGAATGAAATTATAAAGATAATTTCTTCCATTTATAATAGTTATTTCCTTTTTTCTATAACAAATTAAATTGTACATATAATTATATTATGTTGAAATGCTTTTCAGAGTAATTTGCCATTATTACATTTAGCACAACAAAATCGTATGCTAATTATATTAATACATGATTGTCAACCGAACAGATGCATTATAATAAAAGCAAATAACATTAGATGATATTGACTTATACATAAAAGTCAAACCAAAAGTATTATGGATACAGCATTCCAGAAAACGAGTTTATTGATAAGATTATGTTTAAGGATCAAGAAGTAAGCCTTTTTTGATAATTTTAATTATACTTTTGTATTTACAGCGCAGTACTTAAAATAGCAAATTAATAATCTGCGTGACGTTGAAATCATTCACAGTATTACACAGGTCAACATTATAGCAAATCAGTAGAATGTATTTTTTAAAGTTAAAAAAATTTACAAAGAGATATATACATCTCTCTCTCTGTCTCTCTCTCTCTCATGTGAATATGTGTTCAATCGAATTTTATTATCGAACAAAAAAGTACTGAATACTGTTGAATACTCAACATTTACTTAACATTTTTCTTAAAAACTCAAAGCATTTTTAAACTATTTATCATATTATATTGTTTATCGATAATATTTTAATATTTTGTAAAATTAATTAAATCTTAAGTACTTTTAATATAAAAACTCAAATATTATTTATATTATTAATACGTATCAATAATTCGACAAAGCAAAAGCACACAAATTTAATATTTGAATATAATATATCTTTGTTCATAATGGGTTCATAATTTTTTATTTTAAACAAAGCTAATGTTAATATAAATAATTATATTGTATTGTGTTCTCACAATATTTGAAGATAACATTTCGACATTATTATATTTGGATGTATCGTATTTTAATTGTATATAGTATTTATTTATGATTCTCAATTTTTACCTTTATCTTTAATGGCAGTTTATCGAATTATATATTGCATTAATATTATATTATCACTTTATATCGATGCATTGTGAGAGCATCAATAACTATTTGTTATTAACGCCACTCATGTGATATATTTTAAATCGCATTTTTAAAAATTGTTACATATACCTCATAAAAAGCATAAATACTTATTTATATAAAATAATCTGTTAATATTCTTGTTAAATTCATTGATACAGAAACCGTATTATGTGTATGACTGTGAGATCCAATATCATGTGTTACATCATTTATGGTAAAATATATATTAATCTATTGCATTATATATATATTGCATTTATGCACAAAGGGGTACGCAAAGCACTTGTACCATGCCAAAAATCGAAGATTTACAAATATCTGCTTCAGGAAGTATGAGTTTTGAACACATCGTTAAAATTTCTGTAATATACACAATAGAATAGAATAGTTTGAATATATATTTGAATCTTTTAAAGCATAATTTCGTACTCGATAGATACTGATGAATTGACATTGCGATAATTATATTAAGTATATCGGAAAGTTCTGTCTGCTTTGTGACTAATTAGTTTTTAAAGATTAAAAATAAACAAGTTTCAAAATAAAATTGGAGGAAGTTTATTCACAAAAGATAAAAAGGATCTCATAAATAAGATCAATTATATAAAATAATTACACAAATACATTTTGTTTCTATGATGAGTCATGCTCTTATTTAATAATAAAACAGAACTTTTCGGTAAATCTAATAGAATTGCTACAAATTGTAACAAATTTCTGCAGTCTGGTCCTATAAAAACTAACCGAACTGCGTGTAGTAGATTTTATAAGTTTAATACTTTTGTAATGATAGTGTAACAATATACTAGTCACACTCATCTTTATCACTCTCTTCTAACATTAATCAAACACAGTTTGTGATACATTTACCTTAAGTGAGATTTTGTTTCCTACTATGATTCAGTTTTGTGATAGGGATGGATAGGACTGGTTATATGTTTATAAATTTAAAATAGTATTACATTACATGGTCATGTGCTGATTTATTCAGTTTCGATGCAATAATAAGGAATTGCACAATTAAGATGGAAGTGTTAACGCCTCGATTAACAATGAGACTAATTTAACTGCAGACTGTTATGTGAAATGAATTTGCAAGATTTATAACGTTTTGCATACATGAAAATATTGTATTTCTGAGTGATTATTGTATGTGATTGTATAATACTAATTAGCTTCAGCATACTACTTAGCTTTTATATCCTGTGTTGCAGCCTAAGTATTTATCCACTGTATGAAGAATTATCAAAGAACTCATCAATCATCAAAACAGATATAAAACCAATTTTTTTGCATTGTTACGGTTAAAATTAATCAATATATAATGCGTTTTACTCTGTGATTTCATTCCTTGGATTATTATGCAAGAAAGCAAAGCTTCTTTGCGATAAGCACGACCGATTAATGGCAACGTAAGAAAAGTTATATTAAAAAAAATTATTTGACAAAAATAAAAAGACATTTTGAATAATTTCAACATATTCATAACATAGCGCGCAAATGTTAATGTTCTGAAAAAATGATACACACAACGATAAGAATATACTTACATATATAATAATGAAATTAATGTCTTGGCGCAAAACAATGATTTGTTCTATACAAAATATTTTAATTTTGAAGTAACATGTAATTTGTGAAATAGTTTCTCTTGTAAACTAAATTTTAGTACAGAATTGTGAACTGCATATAGGGGTCTAAAGCTTAAATTATATATATCATTATTCAATCTATTTCTATTTTATTTTTGCAGGTAAAAGATGCGGATTGTTATATTCATTTTATTTATATAGTAATATTAGTAAAAATCTCGACGATAGCATCGATTGCATCGAAGATGTAGCCAAAAAATGTAAGAGGTATATAATTCTAGGATCAAATGATTGTACTTACATAAATAATGAGAAATATTTTGACTGACTTTTTATTACATATAATTCTTACTGCTTATTGTGACTACGTTAAGTTCATTACTTTAGCGTCAAGATGCGAGAGTTATTATTTTACTTAATTATCTCCGTAATCATAAACGAGGATGGATGTGTTGTATTGTATATTCTGCATGTATATTTTGCTATTTGATATATTTAACTAACACTGGTTTAATTACGGGATATGATAATATGGCGTAATCACATGTATAGACAACACATGTGATAATAAAATAATATTTATAATTGACTGTGTGATATACATGATGTCCTAAACACATCCACACACGTATCTCTTTCGTATTATGTAATTAAAAATTATATACATAATTAAATAATGAACAAACAATTGTATTACCAGTTGGGATAATGTACTTTGTCCCGTCTGCTGCATTCTTTATCAATTCCATCGAAGAGAATCGATGATTGTCGAAAACTCGCACTTATGCATATTGTCGAATAAATGTCAACCCGCGCATTTTTCACTTCGGAAAATCACAGGTTTACGAATTTGTCACATCACAGCATACTAAAATAAATGCGATACAAAACGCACTTCGTGTCGCAACGCGTATATACAATAGACTGATTATTCTGCGATCCAATATCATGTACGCACTTAGAACAAGCGAAACGAATGATTACTGCTTTGACTATGACGCGGAGGTTGTCAGATACGAACATCATTATGTTTTACTCGTTTTATATAAAGCAAAGTACATTTCGCTTTTATAGCTCTTTGGTTTTGTATTGGTTTTAATCTGCGATACGAAGAAACGTCACTAATCACGAACACTCGCGATAAATAATAGTCGCTCGCCACTTTAATCAGCATAAAAATTCGCACTTGTTATATATTTTTCACAGATAATGGGAATATATTTTTAACAGAAATATGAGTAATCACAGAACGTTCGCGCCCTGTTTTGAACAACGTGACGTAGTAACTATGACAGCTGAAAGATAGCGCTCATAGTTTCGATATCGATATGTCGACCATCGACGCATTCAACACTTGACTACATTCAAATTGGTCGGCCGCCATTACATTTCATTATTTTAGAAGACGAAGTGCGAACGCTCTGCAATCCAAATATTATCCAATTAATCGCGTAATTAAAAGAGCGCTAATGAGTATATATTTCTATCGGGAGTGGCGATTAAACTAACGGGCGAGTGTCGAAACTTGTATTTATTGCGGATGTTCGCGATTAATAATGTTTCGTCGATTGTGTCGGACCGTCAATTCAACCAGGTTATAGTTCTGGTGAGTATAGATTTTGTTACTACAAATATGTACAATCCTTTTGTCTAATAAACAAATGGCATACTTTTCATTAGACATAAGAAATGTTGATATTTAGCTTGTCAAAAATCAAGTCAAACATAATTATTTTGTATACTTGTTAGTATCTGACGATCTATGACGTCAAGATAACCGTCATTTATTTCGTTCGTTTTAAAAACATATATATGACATCTATTGCGTTGTAGCAAAAGTAACGTTTAACTTCGCGTTTTGTACCGTGTCGTAGGAAATCTGTAATATTAATCCATGATTTTTTCAAAAGCAAAGTATAATTAGAGTTTTATTCAATAGTGTGTGTGTAACTAAGTATGGATTCTTCCATCGAGCTGATACGGAGCTCTAATATGGAGTTTAAGGACTTTGAATTTGCAGCGAATCAAGCAAACTTCAATACCCTAGCTGGTGAGTATAATTCTTGATTCGTTATTTAATTAAGCACATAATTGTAATAACGCACACATACACAATTACTATTTATATTAATTAATGTTCAAAAATATTTATTAAACATTAATAAATAATAATTAAAATTTTTATACGTAAATATGTATAAATATGTAAAAATTAATTTAAAGAAATGTTGCAAAGTTATATATATTAATTGTTCTAGGTACAGCTGAGAAAAAGCGTGCTTAGGGTACAACGACTGGTGAGTAAATTCATTTATTATTCAGATATTTATTCATAATTGTATAATTACAAAACTATTAGCATACAAAAATGCTAATATCATCTGCTATATTTTTTTATCGAGTAATGTTATATAATTATTAAGAATCATCAGTGGACAATTATATTTTTTTTTAGATTTACATTTTTATAAATAAAAAGTGAAATACAAGATTATTTTCTTTCTATTGTGGCAGTAAAAATTTCAAATTTTGCTTAAATTATAAATGCATTTATTGTTCTTAAATCATAAAATTACAAAATTTTGAAAATTTAAATTATTAAATTTTTTTTATATATTTTAATAATTTAAATTTTTAAATTTTTTATTTATTATTAATCTTAAATCATAAAATTATAAAATTTGAAAATTTAATTATTAAAATATAATTATTAAAAATAATTTTAATTTTCAAAATTGTATAATTTTATGATTTAAAATTAACAATAAATACATCTATATGGTTTAAGCAAAATTTGAAATTTTTACTGTTAAAATAGAAAAAAAATAATTTCAATTTTCATTTATAAAAATGTTGTATATATATATGGCTAAAAAATATCGATACATTATATTTTTTTTACTATAATTTTTTTAATTATGTAAACAATTTTTAGCTATTGCGCAATTTACTCAAATTTGCGGCAAAAAATTCAATTGTCAAATAATTAAAAAAATTATAGTAAAAAAATATAATGTACCAATATTTTTGTTTCATATTAATCTCATTTATTTGCTTATTCGTTTAGTTTTATTATCTATATATCATATAAAAAGCATATATAAAATTATAATTAAATACGAAAACATCTTGAATATCCATAAATACTTGGAGAACATAAATTAGCGATATTAAATGATTATAGAGTGATCCATTCTCGAGAACGAGAATTTACGTTCTATTGTAATTATCAATTGTTTTTACTATTTACTTATATAATATTAAAAAGTTGAGAAATTGCGAGAAACTATGTTTCAGTAAATTTTTAGAAAAAAAGTTATTTGCTAGAAAGGAAAAGTTATTACCAATTTCAATATCTCTTTGTTTATGAAGCGTGCATATCAAATATGGGCATATACAAAAGTTGTATCTGAATATGAAGGATTAATGCATAACTTAAAAAAATAAGCTTTTCGTAGAGAGACACACACGTCTGTTATTTCTACCGTCATTTTATCATTGTAATATGTGACAGTTTGATATCGATTTTCGCACTATCCAAATAAGCAGAAAGCAAATCGTAAATACGAAAAAAGGGCAATCGTCTTCGATACTTTGCGCGAGGCACGTGCGATCGCAGACCATACGGCTGTCACGTCGTAAATCACCGGGGCAACGGGGTTTGTTACGTTTCTCTTGAGATTTATTTTGGTATTACCGATAACCTTGCGATGATAGTCTGCGTCCACATCACACCCTTTCGCGAGTCTCCTCTACTGCCTGTTTACACGGTTCACGTGCTCTCCGTGTATCTTAATCTCTCGATCGGGAAGATTAATCCCTGTCAGCGGGAGTTCGAAGATTTGTTGGCCGATCGCGGCCAACATTCCTTTAGTCTTTGCGTAACTCTGGCAGCACCGAGATATTTTTTACAGCTGCACCCAACGGTATTTTTTTTGAGAGATGATTATTGATATATGATATCCTAAGATCTTTATGTAGTTCGAAATATAAGTGACTCGAAATTTCACCCTGTACAATGTATCTCAAAATTCTTGCAATCTATGAATCAATAATCACTGTGTAAAATTACATTTTATAACAGTAAATATCATAGTATTATATAGTTTAAAAATGATACAATCAATTTGTTAATTTCGATAATTTCTATAGATTCTTTAAAAACGGATATGAAAATAGCGTAATTAACGATTGCGCGATTAGTAACAATAATGCAAAGTCAAAAATTGTTTGTAGCGACTTACACGAAATTATTTGAACGATAAATTAATTTAAAATGCTAATGCTAGTAATAATTATTGATTATCTACTGACTTATTACAAATGACCTTTTTTACATGAAAATAAATAAATAAAAGTAGAATCAAATAAATTGATTGCAATCTTAATAATAAAAACAATTGAATTTGTCATTAAGAAAACTATCCAAACACAGAAACAAAATTGAAACAACAACTTTTATTTGCAGAATTTGTCAGAAATAAAGTAAATAAGTCTTGCGACATCCTTCATTAATTTTTTATAACTTTCTTTTCACATTTGTCCTTACTCTTCAGTTACTCTATTTAACGAAAAAATATTTTTAGTCTGATTATTTTTGTCATATGCAATTCAATTGTATTTTGAAATGTCTTTTATCTAATTGTTTCAAATCTTTTTTGATCCAAATTTTTTCTACAGAGTTTTTCTGTATCAGTGTGTAAGTCGCACAGCATTTTTCAAAATAATCGTTGCGTTGATTTACGGAGGCATCATATCCGGCCTAAATTTATATTGAGAATATTATGAGGTTTCGCGCACAAGCGAGCAGATGCATCTCGTTTGTCGAATAGCGTAAAGCGCAAAGAACGAACGCAACGCAAAACGGGCGAAAGCGCGAATAGCGGTGACGGAGTGGTTGCGTGGTGACGCTTGACCCGTTTAAAAAAGATCATCTCCCTCGCATCTGTTGCTGAGACGTTGAACGAGAAAGAAAGAGCCATTGCGAAACCGTCTACGAGGAAACGTCATTTTTTATGCTCTTTTCATCCGCGTTCCCTTAAAGCAGAGAGGACCGGCGATTAAAAGTGCTCTGTTGCGGCTAGCTCCGGTTTGCGCGAAACGTAAATTCGCATTATGCACATGTTGCTAAGTAACTTTATAATGCATCTTTTACACAAGATTCACCGTGAAATTAGACGATCACATATAGTATTTACTATAGCATTTAATATTTCTTATTCCTTTATATGTGTTAGATTTCTTATTAAATTTTTGAAATAATTTATGTGAGATTTTTGAATTTTTGCATTATTTTATATATTTGTTTTAGTAATAAAATTTAAGTCTTAACTTAAAAATTATAACAAATTAAAATCTAGTTGAAATTAATCGAAGACCAAGATTTTATCATTTTAAAATATTGTTATTATGTCCCAGAAACTTAGCTCTATTTAATTGCTCTAATCTCTAACGTTAAATAGTGAAATCTAGATACTTTATATCAATAGATCGTTGCATATCGATTAAACATAAATTAAATGTTTGATTAAAGGAAATTATTAAAATTATATGATGTTAAAATAGACTGTCGATATTTCCTTACGGTACATCGGAGTACTGCAAACATTTTCTGCATGCTTTTCAATATTAAATACTTTTATTTTGAATTTGTGACGATAATAATTGATATTCAGTAATATTAAGTAATTAGTGAAACTATATCTTATTAATTCAAAATATAAGCTAGAATATCGTTAATAAAAAGTCGATAAAATGAGGTAACAAGTATATTTGCCAAAATTGCACTTATTTGTGTGCTGTCTTTTGTCAGATTTTTACAAATTTTATAAATTTAATTAAAATTCATGTGATTTTTCCTACTTTTGACTTGATCGATGCTTATTTTCGCTGTTATTTCGATAAGACACTTAGCAAAAGACAAAATATCAATATTTTTGGTACCAATAATAAACTACCAATACTACTACAATGTCGAAGTATCGTGAACATCCCTAGATTGTGGGGATCGCGGGGGTGAAAATGTGCAGCCGTGATCTTCGCTCGTGGACCGACCTCCTCTTAAATGGTCTCCCCGCCGCCTGGTTACCTCGGCCACGGCGGCAGCTACAACGGCAGGGAGCAACTTTGACCACGGTGAGAACGAGGAGAGAATCAGGGAACGTTGGTCCGAGAGAGATCAATGTGTGCAGCGGTGGGGATCAAAAGTGGAAGAGCGAGAGAGACGGAGTGAGATGATTGGCGGGAGAGAACGCTGATAGAGCGAGACGACAGATCAAAGAATCCGGAGGAGGGAGAGAACGTGCCGATTCGGAGCGTGGTGGGAAGACCGCGAGATCGCGTTGGCGAAATACAAGGAGAGCAAGAGAGAGAGACAGTCAAACAGAGAGGGGGTGAGTAGGTAGAGGGGTAGGGCAAACTCTTCTCGGTGAGAGAGAATCCAACGTGGAGAAAGAGGAAGTCGGGCTGTGAACGCGGGACGAAGACAGCGCGCGGCGAGAGAGAAAGAGTTGGATCCAGCGTGAGTGGAGGGAAAACCACGGGGGCTTTTGAAAAAGTTTTATCTTGTCGGTGCGCTCGGCCTCTCAGACGCTACCGAACGCCGGTACGGTGTTGTTGGGCCACGTCGTGGTCGCGCGGTCTCCTCGACGGCGACGAGTTACGAGTAAAGAGAACGAACGGAGAGAAAGAAAAAGAGAGAATTCTGATCGTGTGCCGTGATTTTTGGTCCCGGTCGATCCTTTCCCATTGTCAGCTTCCGTCCGTTTTGTCCGCCCGCGCGATCGCGGACATTCGCGAAAGAATAGCCGCAAGGACCGCCGAGGAGAAGACTCGACGGAGCGTCATCCGCAGAACGAGAAGGACAGCCCTGTTGTCCTTGGAGGGATCATTCTTCGCTTGTTTCGCCATGCATTGTCGCTGAGGTGTCTCGTAGTGTTCGAGAGAAAGAACGAGCGAGCGAGAGAGAGAGAGAGAGAGAGAGAGGAAAGAAGAGAAGAGAGAAAATCAGTAAGGAAGAGGGCGAAGAGGTTAAGAAGTGACTCCTTGCCGGTCGCGACAGACGGCCAGCGACGAGATGAAGAACCGTGTGTTGCTAAAGAGTGCGTTGCTCTTGTTGCTGATTGCGGCAGTCGGCCTGGTGACAGCATCTGTGGTAAGTTTTTAGAGTGAGCTGATACTGAAACCGGATCATCTGGTCCCCGAACTGTTGAAATTACCGGTGATCTCGCGAGATTTCATGATGTTCCGAAAACACGTGCAGCAGCACGCTGCTTTGAAAACGCGTTTAGCAACACGACACTGCGAAATGTATCTCGGTGCTGAAGTCGGTCAGTTCGGTTCGATAAAATCTTCTCTGAAAACTGTATCTGTAATACTACCAAATGATGACTGAAAATAAGAAATCTAAATTAACATTTTATGTCAATTTAATTAGTGATCAATTTAGTAGTTTTGGGAACATAATTTATTACTGATTTTATATGACATAAAATCGAAGCTTCTATGAAATGTCACTGCAAACATATCGCCAATAATAAAATTCAACGTATAGAAAAAATTTTTTTAATTACTCATGATTGACAGATTATATAACGAATGATATATATTAAATTAAATTCGTTATCGCGCGAGAATATTCGCGAATTTATCAGCTGGAGACTCGCGAAGAATTTTGGGAACTTCTTACGGCAGCGATTAGATAGTCCACGCGGTTCAATCACCGCGATTATACCTGTTATACGCCTCACTTACGTCTGATGATAAGAATCGCCGCATAGCTCGCGGTGCGGAGACGCGCTCTCGCAGATCGTTGCGATAGATTCATACGTTGAAGAGCATACAGCGTGACAAATGATTTCTCACCTCTCTTTAGACATGTCAAAAGCATTTTTATCTTTGGATTGCATATTATGATTGCCACATTTTTCTCCATACACGAACAAGGCAGCATCTTGCTGTGCTTTAACGTGCTCTGTTTCGCTCATGCTTTTGAGCGTGAAAAAGTTGAAATTAAAATCGGTTTATGTGATAAAGGCTGAAAAATTTGATTAATTATTCAAATGTATCGCTAATGCCATTGCGAATCCATTTAGTTGCCAGCATTAATATAGCTGTTACATTACTTAACATCTAGAATTTATCATGTATCAAATTCTTATGGCTTGATATTTATGATGTGTTATTTGAGCTTTTTGATTTTTTGAATAATGGTGCGCCGCGATCGTTGAAACGTATCACATGATGAATTAAATGAAATATACAGTGAGTCGCAGAAATAATTACTGTAATTTATTAAATGATGACTACAAATATTATTTAATGATGCGAAGTCCATTTCTCTCTTGGACGCAGGACCGTGCGTCAAGTTTGCTGTCTGAGGCAAGATTGCAGAACGGCGCCTCTAAAAAACGATATGTAAAATATTAAAGAATTTTATGTTTTCTTCTTTTGCATTGGAATGCACTTAATGGGCACGTTGGCATAAATTAAAAAATAAACTACAAATGCAGAATAAATGCCGCGTAAATATGCTAACGATTGTTATTTCCATATACTTTCTTATACTTTTAATGAAAAGTAAAAGTTTTGTGTATACACAAAATATTAAATTTAAAAATGATTATAAGGCGCTTTGGCGGTTTCTCCAATCTGGCGCCTGAGGCAGTTGCCTTGTCGTCTCACCTATGGGCACGGCCCTGCTCTTATAAATCGACTATAAAATAGGATTTTAAATGAGGATAAATTAGATCTTCTCGATCAAAGTGCCTGTGATGAGTTTTGTAACTCTTGCCAGTTTATATTCTTTTCTGTTTTCCTCGCACAAAGAAATCGTTCGATTTAACGATGATCAACAGGTATGGAGAAAGAGGGCCGGTATCGCGGAAGAAGGTATCGGTGTACCTTCGGATCGTCGAAGGTGCCGCGGGTTTAGAAAATACGGATCGAATTGTTATGCGCAACACCGCCAAACTTGTTCGACACGACCGGTAGTGAGACAGCTCCGGGATAATTTGCGCAAATCGATTATATTCCGATCACATCTCGAACTTCGTAGAAGCGGATGCGAGTACAAGTCGAACTTGTGTCGTGCCGAAGTCCGATCGCTTCTGGAACCCGCCAATCCAGCGAAATATTATTCCGCGGATTTTCGTCGAGGCGACATTTCGTCGGTGGTCTAACGTGACATCCTTTGGGTCAGTTTCTTTATAACTTTTGTAGCGCAACTTTATCACGCCTATAATAGCACGCGAATATCACTTTCTTGAATCAAATTTCTGCTAGAAGCAAATTATTTCGTCGTCTTAAACATTCTTGTACTGATTTTTCTGCTATATATTTGCAAAGGAAAAATCTTTTTAAAATTTAGTAGAAAATGTAATCTGCAAAAAAAACTTTACATATATTTAATTTAGGGGATATTCTACTTAGAGTAGTTAAAGTAATTTTATTATTTTGCTCTAGAAATAAAAAATTCTTTGTAAAACTACTATATAACTTATAATAAGTTATAATTTTATAAGCACATTTAAAATATCCAACATTCGTAAATTCGATGTATATATAATATGAATATATTTTTTGAAAACTTCTTTATCTTTTTATCTTTTTTAATAATCTATATAACTAAATTAATAATTTTAATTCATATTATATATATATTTAAAAAATTGACACACACACACAATACATTTGCCATATATTAAAAAAGTTTAGTAATTTTTAAATAGAAATAATGAGAATTATTTTAACAGACTTATTTTTGCGATGCTTTAAAAATGACTTATTAAAAATAAAGATGTGTGATTAATTTTAGACTTATTGTGCTAACAGAAAATTGGATCGAGTATCCGATATTGTACTGTATAATATGATCAGCTAAAATAACTGCTGCTCCAAAATGCAACAGAAGCTATGTGTGATACATGGTTACATTGTGTCGCGTCGCTAAATTTATTTTAAAACTACATTAAAATTTTTAGTAATTAAAATAATGAAATTATAAAACAGCAATAAATTTATTTTGATCGCGCAGATAAATCGAAACAAGTGCATCACCAACACAACCAAGTGACTAGTCGAGATCCGCGCCATAGTATGCTTATTTATTGCGATAACTTAACAATGATTGTGTTATCTCCCTCTGTGAGTATCGAATATCGTGATAACCGGCGATATTGGCGGACAATGCAAACTAGTGAGATGTGCGAACCGCGACTTGGTGCAAAAAGTATCTTACATTTCGCGATTGAGCCCAAATTACAAATCCCAAGTGGTGCTCTCATTCGAGACATATATGTGTGTATCTTTCGTGCGCTATTCAAAGCAACGTGGTAAATGACTCTATTTGAGGCACAACGCCACCGTTGCGGGGATATATTGGGCTGCATTCTCGTTGCGTACACTCGATAGTGCATTGTAATCATTCGGTGGATAAAAATTAAATTTAACAATGAGTATTGATGTCTGCACTTATTTCGTATAAAATATTGCAAATATTAATATCATTTTAAAGAAATAACGAATTCAAAATTTATTCCTTTTAATAATGGTGCAGTTCACGATAACCTCATGCGTCATGATAACCTGACAGATTTGATCACTCAATCAAGAATTTTCGAGGTCCAATTACTGCAGACAAACGTTTCATTTCTATTTAAAACGGTGATTTTATGTCAATTGGATTTTTTTTATTTTTTTAAAGATTGAACGTGATTTCGGTGTTCTTAACAAAATTAAATTAAGACACGTTAGATTGTAAATAAACAAATTTGATAAGTAGTATTATATTTAATTATATCTAGTATTACAATGATATCTAGTAAGTTTTGTCTTTTTTAATTGTGCAAGAGAACAAATCCGTTGGCAACGTGAGGATTTAAATTCGTGTGTGCCTTTTCGCGGCGGTGGCGAAATTTTTTAGGAACGATACATTGTCCTGATCCATGAGACGACACTGACTCGATGAATCGAGAGTCGGCGGATATTGAATTAAAATAGTTATTCTCGGAACGGCACGTTCGCCACGGTTCGTCGGTGGCTTGATTAATTTCGAATCGTTCCTCGATCTGGAGTCGAATTATCATTTCACGGCGCTTGCAGGCATTTGCATGCATAGACGATCATTTTGCCAACCGGCGTCTTGACAACGGCTATTATTATAAGTCGGCGTGAAGATGAACGCAATGGTGTAACAGAGTGCAAGCGCACCTCGATTATATAACGTTTTAAACGGAACCAAAAAAAATGTACAGAAAGAACCGTCTAGAATTCAATTTTATTTTATTTATTCGTGCAATGAAAATTATTATAAATACATTATATCTAAATTTTATAATAACTATAAATTACTCTCAATAATATTAGAACTTTTTTAATAATATACTTTAAGATAAAATAAATCTGGTTACTTGTATATATTAGATTCTCGCATTAGTCATGGCTTTATCAATATGCGCATAAAGTAAACGCCCTTGACATAGATTCATGTTATCACAAAATTGTCTATTAGATTCTCTAGAGTAACAGATATCCAACAATGTTACTATTATAATACTCTATAATATTGCTAAGAAAATAATTTATGAATTGTTTTTTTTTTCAAACTACTGACAACAAATTTTATTGCATCTTATTGTTAGAGAGAAGAGAGTCTTTATCTTTACATCGAATAAACCGATTATGCTGATAATAACGTGATTAACGTAAGATACGTGTGATATTGATACGTAAAATTAAAACACGCGAAATTTTATCGGTGCAAATTACATTCGTTAGTAGCTCAGTTAATTAAATATATAGCATTTTCTGTATAAATAAAAAATAAGTTAATAGTTATTTGTTCTATTATCCAATAATTTAAAGGAAGAACTAAAGCTACAAAAGCCAGAGGCCAGTTAACCTTGCTCAATTTTTATTTTATGAACGTGTTGTTTACAACATCACAAACGTTTCGACCATTCAAAATGGCCATCTTTAGTGTGCTCATGTACAATTTCTTAAAATATTCCTAATTATGATACATCTGTATATATTTAACGCAATTTTGCAGTTTGTAAACCAGTTTTTGATCGAATTCTGTTACATACGCTTCTCTGATGTAAGGATCCACGCTATTCCTTTCCATTAAAATATTCTTTGTCCAGTTAGTTAAAA